TCATGCCTAGGGTTGCATTTGCATGCTTATATCTTTTGTCATGCATACACTAGGTATTTCATATGGTAGGCTTGCTCGGTCTCATTTGTAACCCTTGGAGCAAACCTACATGGTTTAAAATTGCTTAGGAGCACAGCACATAGCTTGTCTTACTATTGTTTATCTAATATGTGCCAAAGTCTAAATTGTAGATAATTTTCTCCCAAATATCATCTTTCAAGTGGTATTTTGACTCCAAAATCAATTGTGCATGAGTACTACAAGTATTCCATGTCTCCATGCACAAATTTAGGGGGAGGATCATCTACAAGATGGACGCTTTGAGACTAACACCTTTTTCAAGTTTATCATGTGTGTAGTGGTCTCATTGCAAGGAAAATGGAGTCCCCGAAGAGAAGCATCGTTCTTCAATTGGCATCATCATGTTGATTTTATTTCATATTTATATGCTTTCTCCATGTATTATATAGATTAAACTCTCTTGTGCAACAAATTGCTAATTATGCATATGCTTTGCTTTCTACCATATGTATGCATATATTTAGGGGGAGCTTAGTCTATATAATGCGAGAGTCAAATTTTGTGATCCATTTCTCTCTATACACAAAGGATCATGAAATTTGACCCTCCCTTGTGCTACTAATGTCTTCCTTTTTAGTGTTTGATGCCAAAGGGGGAGAATTTGAAGGACCAAAAGCAAGCATCAAGTTGAAGTCTACAAGTGGTAATGGTCCGAGAAAGGGAGGAAAGTGAATTATGGATTAGTCTATGTAATGGGAGAATTTTTTTTAGAAAGATAGGCTCTAATCCATAATATCACATGGGGACATTTGCAAGGGCAAGACATGCTTTTGAGTAAAGTTTTAATTGGTATCTATCAATTAGTATCATATAACCTTGCCCTTTGCATTGCATCCTAGCAAGTAGATAATTTTTATTTAAAATTTTTTATCATTTGCTTGCTTTGGTCGTGTTGTCATCAATCACCAAAAAGGGGGAGATTGTAAGGAAAATGGACCCTTGACCCATTTACTTTGGATTTTGGTGTTTGATGACCAACACAACCAAATTGGACTAATGAATTTGCAAGTGTTTGTTTTGTAGTCCAATAGGGTGCAAGACGTGACTTGGACGAAGGCGACATGATGATCTGATGATCAACACCTCAAGCAAGACCTTAGAAGCACAAGAAAAGACACAAGATGTCAAGCAAAGTCCAAGCATGAAGATAGGAACCAAGCCGTGCGCAAGATCGAGAAGAAACGAGCTCGTAGAGGCGACCGGACGCTGGACCGGACGCTAGAAGCGCGACCGGACGCTGGACCGGTGGCTCGGCAGACAGGCGACCGGACGCAAGGACCGGACGCTGGCGGCAACCGATCGGACGTAGGAACGTAGCGTCCGATAGAGTACAGAGAGGTTCCAGGCGTGCGAAACTGCGACCGGACGCGTCCTGTGGCAGGCGACCGGACGCTGGCAGCGTCCGATCGATAGTTCGCGGCTACAACGGTCGGGACGATCGGACGCGTCCGGTCAGGATGATTCAGCGTCCGGTCAGTAGCAGATTTGCGGGAGTTCGACCCCAACGACTACTTTCTCAGTGGGGCTTATAAATACAACCCCCAACCGGCCATTTGAGAAGTGTGGAGCTGAGGAAACATATCAAGAGTGTTGATACACCATTTGAGTGATCTCCACATGCATAGTGCTTAGTGTTTTATTAGGTGATTAGCATAAGTGCTTTGCGAAGTGCTTAGGTTGATTAGACCACCGCTTATGCGCTTGCTCTAGGTGTTTGCCTAGTGTTTAAGTGAGGTTTGCATACCTCTTGCCACCCCGTGCTTGTGAGCACAAGTGTTGTACATCGGAGGGGCTTGAAGTCTTGCGAGATCACACCAACCGCGTTTGTGGTGTGGCCGCCACCGTGTACCGGAGGGAACAAGGCCCGCGGCGTTTCGGCCGGAAGCTTGATAGTGAAGACGGCGGGGAGCATCCGGGAGAGGCTTGCCGAGAGGCACATCGGAGACCCACTTGCGCGTGGGGAAGACCCGAGGCTATCCACGGAGTTACCCGACCGGGAGCTTGGCCCTTGCGAGGGGCTCCAACGAGGACTAGGGGGAAGCTTGCGCGCTTCTCGATACCTCGGTAAAAATACTGGAGTCGTCGACGGGAGTTTGCATATCTCTACCTTGCTCTTTAAGCTTCCGCATTTACATTGATCATATTATTATCATCTACAGTAGAGATAGCAACACACTAGCGAAACCGTAGTTGCACATCTAGATAGATTATCTTTTGCATAGGTTTTGCTAGAAGTAGAAAAAGAGGCCATAGTCGTGAGTTAGATTTTTAAGTTGCCTAATTCACCCCCCCCCCCCTCTTAGGCGTCCACGTGTCCTACAAGCCTCTAATCCTTTACAAGCATCTGTACAGACTGCTAATTTGTCCATTGGATCTAATGCATCTCTCAATTTTTTCATGAACCATGTCTAATTTTCCTTGGTTTCTCCATCAAATAGACCAAATGCTATATGGAACATTCAGTTATGTCCATCAATAGCATTGGCAGCAGGCATGTGCCCATTCCACTGCCCATTGAGGGCAGTGGAGTCTATGCTAATGTAAGGCCTACAACCTTGTAAAAACCCATTAATGCTAGCCTTGAATGTACGTAAAAATTTGCTAAAATGAATTTGCCTATTTACTTCCAATCGCACCTATCTCAACAACACTTCCGAGGGATCTAAGCTCTACCTCGACTTTGAACCTATACAACCAATCATAAGAATCATCCCACTTACCAAATAAAATGTTAGAAGCTCTTTGCCTTCCATACCACACAGTCTGGTAGGGTATCTGGATTTTGTACTTCTCTTATAGCTCATCTTTCACTTCGTTTGCACCCATCCCTAGTTTCCTCTTCAAGAGTGGAATAGCCCTTTCTGCAACCCATGCTTGAGATGCCATCCTACCTTCAACTCTGCTTATTGATGGACAATTATGCCCCCTATCATTTATCTGTACCTGCACATGTAAACATATTGACTATAAGTCCACCAATATTAGTAAAGGGATGGTGATACTCAAGTGTAAGTAACAAATTACAAGATACAAACAAAAAATATGTACCCTGACACTACCATCAAACTGTGTTTTATCTCTAATCCTCCAAGGACATCCCTTGGCATTGCAGCAACCCCTGAACCTTTTCTTGTCTGATTTCTCAGTGTGCAACTCAAACTCTCCAACAATTGCATGCTACCTAAATGCAAGTATGAACTTAGGCATTGAGGGATAAATGGCTCCAACATCCATATTTGGATTGTCCCTATCCCAGTCAATAAGTGGCTCTGAACTAGCTTTGTCATCAGCAGGGATAGCTGTTTCCTCCATTTCTTGTTGGATCTCTGGTGGGATAGATAGGATAGGAACTTCTTCAGCTGCAGTAGCTGCTGCTTTCTCTTCTACAGCTTTGAATCCATATGCCTCAAATATTGCATCTTCATCAGCCAACATAGTAGCCTCACCATCTTGATCATCATTGGGTATTATGGTTAGAGTGCTCCAATCAACAACAGGTTCTGGTGCACTGAAAGTTTCAGCTTCTAGAGACATAGCTGTATCATCAGCTGCTTCTGACTGTGCTACAGATTGGGCAGTAACCCCAGATGTTGCACAACCACTAGCATTATGCCCAGCTGGTGCTGACTGACCCTTTTCCCTGACCTCACAGGCAAGATACAACAGCTTAACATCCATCCTAGCCCCCCACCATCTCAACAAACTGCTTGTCAGTTGTTATCTTCCACTCAGTCTCACTTTTTATATCAACTCCCCACACAATCATCTGCTGACTAGGCCCCCAGATAATGTTGCTAGCCATTTCCTCGACAAAGTTACTTAGATTGAACACATACCTACTGTCAAACCAGACATCATGCCTTGAATCTTCCATTTCTAGTGGCCCATACTCCAGATTGGCAGTGAACTTAGCACATTCAACAACAATTCTAAACGAATTGCCAAGATCAATCCTGGCACATGTCGATAATGAAAACAGTTTAGAATTAGAATTGATCCAACTCCACAGCCATCACAGCGAATACAATCAATACAATATCCTACTTACCAAGGTGGGCAATCTGACGACTTCATTCTACAAGACGAACAAATCCACTACCTATGAAGCGCAGTAACGCAGAACTTTAATGACTGCAAACAAAATCAAAACCCTAACCACATCGAACCCTAGGTGGCAACCGGAACCACAGAGGAGACGAGAGGGGAAAGAGAGGAGAGGAAGGTACACCTACATCCACGAGCACCGTCGCCCTTGCTTTTGCCGAACGCCACAGATCCTCGCGCCGCGCCGTCGGATCTCCTCGCGCCGCTCCTCAGCGCGAGGGAGAAGAAGAATGGGGGCGGATGGGGATACGGGGAGCGAGACCACACAGTTAAGGGATAAGGCAAGGGGCGGCGAGGTCTTTTGCGTGCACCTGCCACGCTGGCAAGCTGACTGGGCATGCCACACAGCTAAAATGTCTATAAATTGGAAGTTTTGGTCAGTTTGGGGACAAAAAATTAGGTCCGCGTAGAAAGCTGGCAATTGAGCTCGTGCCAAAAAAAAAAGTTAAATATCCTGACACCGAGCTGACGTCGAATTCGATCTTCAGCCTCGGCGTCGACCACGGTCATCTCTGGTGTCCGGTCAGCCCACTTTTCCTCCCCATTGCTGCAGTTTTTTTTTCTCTCGCATCACCTCACACCTACATCTCGATCCGTCCCCGCTTTTCACAGATTGCTCTCGGAGGGAGGCATGGAGGGCTGCTCCAAGACGAGTGCCGGCGCGGTGCCCGTCCTCCCCGATGACCCCCTGGTTGAGATCCTCTCCCGCGTCCCTGCCAAGTCCGTCTGCCGCTTCAAGTGCGTCTCCAAGGCCTGGCGCGACCTCATCGCCGACCCTTCCGTAAGAAGCTGCCCCAAGCCATGCAAGAGTCGCCATGCAAGGACTGTTCGTCCAGACGTCCGAGGTCTCTGAGGTTGACAATATTAAATTGGCCCGTACAAGTATCAGTTTTATCGACCTGAAAGTGAGATCCGTGCCTCTGGACATCTACCCTTCCTTCTCCTTCCTGATGGAAATGACTGGGATCGAGGCCTTCATCTTGGATTCATGCAACGGGCTTATCCTTTTCGGGCACCGTCAGGAGCCATTTGATCCCCTTTACTATACCGTGTGCAACCTGACCACAAAGCAGTGGTCAGTCGTGGCCGCTTGCGGTTCTGGTGAACCGGTAAGCCACACCTATTTGGCTTTCGCTCCGGCCATCTCCTCTCACTTTCACTTGGTCCAGTTCCAGATCCGCGATCTGTATGAGGAGTTTGTGTCGTTGCATGCTTACTCATCTGAAACTAGGACCTGGAGTCAAAACCAAATTGATGAACAAAAAGAGCAAGGACAGTTGAAAGGCTGGCATCATCAGTTTACACTAGACATTGAGACTGACAACCATCTTTGGGCCTTTGTTAATGGCTTCCTACATGTGATAGTTAGTTGCTCAGATCTACAGCACATACTTGTTGTAGATGTACAAGGGAAGGCAAGAAGGCTGATCACCGTACCAGGTATGGCTGATGGGAGGCACAGGCACACCTATGTTTGGTATTTAGGTCAATCCCAAGGGCACCTACATTACGTGACTCTAGAGTCTGCTGATAAAGATAACGACAAACTATCCACCTGGGTTCTTCAGGATTATGATACACAGGAATGGGTGTTGAAGTACACTGTGGACTTGAACTCTTTGGATGTCTTTGGAGAAACAAGAGACTTGTCAGAGTTTAAAGTGGTTGACATTCATCAAGACTGTAATGTGGTTTTCTTTCTTCAGGAGTCCTGTAAGCTGACAGCATACGACATGGACCATAAGGAAGTGACTGTCATTGCGACTTTCAAAGATCACAAAGACCCGTGTGATTTTGCTCGTTACGTTCCCTATTTCTTAGAATCACCGGATCTCACAAATAAGCACTGAAAGTGTGTGCTCTAAGTATGAGCTAGCAGCTTGGTTAAATTCTAGTAGACTCAGGTGAAATGTTCTGCTTGTGCTTGGATGTATGCCTTCTTAATTAGTACTGCAAGCCTGTTGAGACATTGGATGTATGCCTTCTCATGCTTTTGATCTAATTAGTACTGCAAGCCTATTGAGACATTTATGTAGTGTACTTATGGATGCTAGTTATATTAATGAATGTTGTTGCACAAGTTGAACAATTTTGATTTTTGGTGATAAGTTTTATGATTAGCATGTATTTTTTTCGTGGCTGTGTTAATGAGCAATTATTTACTGTGAATTTAGTTTGTTTGGTTGTGTGTTTATTTATGTCAGTCAAATCAAAATTATCTTCCATATTTTGCTAATGTTACATGTATGGAATGGTTTCAAATTGAAGGCTTGTGGTTACATCAAAAGTTCAGAACCAAAAAGTCTTATTTATGCTTGAGAGGTAATCTTTTTCGAGGAAACTTACACAGTTTCAAATTTAATATGTGCAATTAATTGTCATATGGACATGCCACATCTTTTTTTCTCGAACGTGCCTCGGGCACGGTTTTCATTAAGCAGGAGAAGAGAGTTTACACGAAATTACAACTAAACGCCATGGTAATCCACCGATTACCAAAGCACTACGGCCCACGGACATGCCACATCTTATCTTCCTAATAGAACATCAGTTGTAGTGTTGCGACGTTAGCGATGCCTTCTCATCGACCTGTTGCCCCTCGCTGCGATAGCTGTGTCTCTTCGACATTCAAGGGGTGTCCAAACTCACTATCTGCTCAGGCTCTCTCCTAAGTTTGCATTTGCATACTGTGGAAGGGTTGCAGCTGCTCATTGCGTGTCTCCAATGTTGATAGACCTGCGAATCTTTAAATGCTTTTTCGAGAGGCAGCCAGTGGTTGACATAACGATCGATTGGGCTGATAGATATGATCCAAGCTCGGTCCAGCTTGGTGAGCTGGCACAGCTACGGATACTGTCAACCTTATGCTTTGCAGATGCATTGCCTGAGTGTCAGTACAACTGGGGCATTGTGATGTTATTGCGGCGCTTTTGGAAGATCCCTGCTCTTTTCATTACGATCATCACCAAATGTGAGTATACTGTTTACATCCTGTTATAATGCATTTGAAACATTTCTTTATTTATTTGAATATTGCTGCAAGTACAAGTAACTGTAAGTTTGTAACAAAAACTATTTTGGAGTACTAGTGATTACTAGATGATGTTTTAGTCAAGCAACTGACTGTCAATAAAATGACTGGTGAAAGGACCTTCAGTTGTAGGTACACTTGTACAGCTCCCTATATTGTAACACTTGACCATACATACATGGGCATGGATGCAAGCATCAGATGTATGCACGACTATTTGATCTGGCAAGGCAAACAAATGAATTGGGGGGGGGGTGGGGGGGGTGCGCTTTTGGATACCACCTTAAGCCAAATGGCCTGAAGCTACAAGACTCCCACATTCTTTAGCTAATTTATAGAACAGAAAAAAATGAATCAAAGCTGTATAACTGTCATTGAATGTAAAACTTTACTAGGATCAGTTGTTGAGAAGAGTAAGCTCACCCCATTTCTTATATAAAATTCTTGCTCAATTTGTTTTTCTGAACTCTCACATTTGTAGGAATGTAGGATTATTGAGGTTGTTCATGTTTAGTCCTCCTTTTTTTATTTTATATATAAAATTTAATGTACCTTGGCACCTTCCTGAATGATTGTATTACTTCAACCGCTTTTTATCAGTGTTCCCATAGATGCACTGGTATAGTTGTAATATTCGGTCAAGGACATGAATTCAGGCGTGGATGGTAGTTTATTATGTGGGTCATATTCAACTATACAGTTATCAAGTAATAGCTGTGATTCTTTACCAGAGGCATCTTCTGTGTCATTCACTCAGCAAAACAAGTCTGAAGTAGTTTACCTGCATTTTGTAACAGTCATTCGTTGTGAGAAAATCAGTTATTCTAGAGAGTTGCTTTATTTCTTGCCATATGAAATTTTATTGTGGCCATTTACGAATTTGCAGGAGATGGTTTACTACCAGTACTTGATGGAAGCCCTAACCTTGCTTCCGGTTGAGAACTTACACCTGAAGTTAGTAACATCTGGACATGCTGTTATCTCTTGTGTATTCCATTTCCTCAAGATTTCCACCAGTATAAGAAGGCTGTTTGTGCATATAAGTGAAGGCATTCAGGTATGCTTCACTTTATCAACTATCGAATACTTTGGTTGCTTGTAAGGTGGTCGAAGATTTCATTTGGTGCAGTGATTCTTGATCAATGGTGATACTTCAGGAGTTAGTTTGCTACACATAGACATAGTTTTCTATTTTTTTCTTCATGGTTTGATTCTAGAAGATATAATTGTGTGGATATACTCTAGCAGCTGTGCATTAATCCAAAAAATACAATGGAAAGCTGCAACTCTACTTTGGGTCCTAATCAACTGCCAGTGTAGATGTTGCTCACTGGCATCAGGTTTCAAACTGATGGTATATTTTACAGAGTCTAGTATTTAAGCTTATAGTACTTCTCATGGGTGCCATGCTAAAGGCTCTGTTGATTACCCTAAGAAGCAAAATTCATCAATTATACACTATTTGCAATTGGCATATATTTGTGTAATTTTGTGGAAAATTTGTTTTCTGCAATTCTCTCTATACATGGCATGTATCCTGTTCTTATGCAAATTTTCCATATGCCGTTAAGACTTCCACTTTCTAAATGACCGTAAAATCGAAATGATTTCCGCTTTCTTATGCTTTTCGTATTGTCAATAGCCATTGAAAAGTTTGTTGAGAAGTTAGCCCATCTTATGTCTATGCTCCTCATCTCAGGAACAAACTGCTTGTTCGCCGGGTTGTATTTGTCATCAGCCGCAAGACTGGAAAACTGAGGAGCTCTGCTTGAATTCTCTCCAAGAGTTGCATATTTGTGTATTGAGCGGTGCAGATGATGATCTTGCATTTGTGCAACGACTATTGGGATGGACACCAGTGCTCAAAACAGTTACTATAAATTTTGATCCTTCAGCCACTGTTGATGAGGACCTTTGCAAGGAGCTACACGACCTCTCTAGGCCAGAGGCTTGCATGAAGTTTTACCTATATCGTAATGCAGTGAGGGACAAGGTACCAGTAGGCTAGGGGAGCTTAAAGGGACGTATCTTTCTGAGTAGGAGAATGTAGCTTAGTGGGTATCCAACTGCTTTACCTCTGTTCAAGTGTGGCTCGTGACCAATGCCCAATCTTATGCAAGTATGATAAAACAAAGCTTCCCCATGACATGCACTAATTGCTACTTCCCTGGTGTGCCTTATTTAGTCTGTGATTGCATTTGCTAATTTAACCTTAGCAAAGTAATCTGGGGTTAACTTATGTTTAAGAGCTTCAAATGGAACATGATCCGTGAATTCTGGATCTATACGGCTACTCGTCTAGGATGTTGTATGGATACTGTGTTGCACTGAAGAGTTGTTATGGGACTCTTTCTGAATCAAACAAGATTTTACCCTGACTATTCGTTAGAAGATGGTTCCAGCTGGTTTTTATATTCCAGAAACAGAACAGAAAAGTGTACTAGATTGGCTGCATATAAATAAGCAATGAGATGTGAGAATGAGTGACACAAAAGAACAGATCTGTTTCAGAATTTCAACAATGTATGTACAACTGAGGGACTCAAGTTGGGTTTGTAGCATACTACGTATGTCATTTTCCATAATATAGCATGAAAATGAAGCTAGTTTAAGAAACCTTGCAGGGCTGTTGCCGCAGCAAGTTAGCAACTATCAACATGTGCGATCTTGCTGTGGTTATTCATGACTCAGGTTGGCTGTGGATGATCTTATTCTTATCGAGTTCTGTTCCCTAGGACCGTGATCATGATTTGTGGACTGGGTTTGGGGTAGGCAGACCGCGATGTTACAGTGTGATTGCAGCAGACAATTATATTAGGTTTGTTTCCCTTGATTTTCTCCTGCACAGGTCTTGAAATCACTGAAAAAGAAACTGAGCTGCAACCTACCGCAGTTGTTGACTGAAAATCGATTCATGTAACAGTTGTACCACATCTATCGAGCGAAATTACATAGAGCGCACCACAAAGTCATGAATTATCTGTTATATGGCGTGTTTGGCTACACTTAAATTCACAACAATCCATATGTACGAGACCCTAATTTGGTAGGTACCATATGATATGATATTGCTTCATCTACAAAAAATTCATGAGGTCATTAGGTTTTCAACATTGTGCCAGACAGTTAAACTGGAACTTGTCATTGTTGTTGGACGACAGTTAGACTGGAACTTGTCATTGTTGTCCTGCATAATTTACACGATCTCCTTATTCATAAGGATAAATTGATTATGCTTCCTTCCACACTTTTTAAAGCTGAGTTGCTAGTTAATTCAACAATTGAATCATCCAATCTAATCCATATGTTCAGTAGCTCGAAATTTACAAGCCCCTCAAGGCGTTCTAGGTGCATTCAGAAGAGGGGGAGGGGAGGGGGGACCTAACCTAACACTCATGAAAAGTCATGTCCCAGTTGCCCCTTCAGCTAATCTAAGCTTCTGAAGAAACAGGCAGTCCATTGGTTGCTTGGCTGGTTTCAGTCTCAGAAGGTTGTGTGGCTTGTGTTGCTGAAGTTCCTTCATTGCCAGAAGGTTCTCCTGACTTTCTTTTCTCACGATCTCTACTATCCTGACCTATGGAAACCTCTTCATCGTTAGCAGAAATTTCTCCTGTCTTCCTACTTTCACGAGCCCGACTGTCCTCTTCTGTGGAGGCCTCTTCATTGTCACCGGAAGCTTCTCCTGACTTGTGTTTCTTGCGAGCCAGGCTGTCCTGATATATGGAAACATCATCATTGTCGCCAGAAGCATTACCTGACTTTCTTTTCTTGCCAGTTGGAATGTCCTGATCCTCATCATCACCAGCACCAGGCTGGGATTGACTTGCACACACACCATTCTCAGAGTTGGCTTCCTCAGTTTCAGATTCTCTTGGCTTACTCGTTGATTGTGGATCCTGGAAAGCTGGACTAATTGAAGAACTTCCATTAACAGCGCATAACACTGCATCTAACTGTGTTTTAACAGAAACTGCCACAGCCATTGCATGGTCACTAATCAAAGTATCACTGGGTGGACAATGAACAAGATTTGCCAATGCCTGGTAATAGTGGAACATGGCCAACGATGGCAGTGCCAATCCCCTGTCACGGCAGACCTTTGCTGACTTTACTACATGTTTGCAAATGTTCCCCTTCCTTGACCAGCTACAATCGCACAACGCAAACTCAGAACCTGGATTCAGTACGACATGGGATTTCTCCTTATTCTTCTGGCTGACCACACTGGCATAATTGCCTTCAATGACAACATCAGAATCTGGAATCTGCATTCCCTGGCACCATGGGTTTGGGCCACTGCTCCACTCACTCCTCCAGTAACGTGAAAAGCTGTTCTTTCCTGAGAATTCATCCAGCCAGTAGTAAGAATGGACCTTTGAACCCAGCTTATGAACCAACCAATCAGCACGCCAATAGACGCTTTTATCTGCCTCATTTAGCAGCCGAAGTTTTAGCAGGTGATGGTAACTCTCTACTGCTGAAGCTACCTGTGCAGTAGCCAATGAGGTGGCCTTTAAGACAGTAATCCATGCCCCTGGAAAATATTTAACAGTCAGCAGTAGAGGATCTGACAGCAATCAAGAAACCTCACCAAATAACTTCAACACCTTACTTCTTAAGAAAAGGTATAACTAAAAACCATTGGCACGTACAGTAAAATCCAGAGATAGAAAAGCAAAATATGATACAGGAAAGGTACATGAACTGACCAAGTCTTGGAAGCCATCTAGCTTCGAAGTAATCTAGAAACCCAGCACAATCAACAAAATCTTGCAGAAAACCTTCGAATAATTCAACATCACCATTTCCTCTGCATATACTAGATATTGCATCTCCAAGACGTTTGGCCATCGCTGAACGCTTCTCAATGTCTGAACATTTGTTAACCAAATTTTTATGCCAAGCATGCCGGATACGCCATAAACTAATCAGCACAGGGCAATGGAAGACTTCCCTGTTCAACATGTTA